AAGTTTCAATGTAATCCAGGGCTGGTTTCTGAGCATAACCCTTTGCAACCAGTCTTGCTTTGTTCTTTTGAACTGTACCATCCAAATTCAACTTAGTTTTGAACACCCATTTCACTCCAATAACTGGTTTGTTCATTGGCCTGTCAACAAGCTTCCATGTGGCATTCTTTTCTATCATGGATAATTCATCTTCCATTGCCTTCAACCAAGATTTATCTTATGCAGCTTCCTCATACTTCTCTAGTTCCAGTATGCACAGATTACACTGAGCAAGAACATCATTCAAGTTTCTCCATTTCAAAGGTGTGTGATCATAAGACTGAGTGACATCAGTGATGTTTTGACTACTACTAGTTGATTCCTTTGAACGTGGAACACAACTAGTTTATGTTATTTCTTCAATCTCATTCACTCTAGGTACATCTTCACCTTGACCTTCTAAGTAGGTTACTGAAAATTGACTTTCAGTAGTTGACTTCCAATCCGAGCTTGAATCTTCATCAAACACAACATCTCTAGACAAAATTAGCTTCTTAGAGTTTGGATCAAATACTCTATAACCTTTCTCACAGATTGCATATCCAACAAACACCCCTTTTGTGCTCTTCGATTCAAGTTTATGTCTTAGTTCAGTTGGAACATGCACATAACACATTGAACCAAATACTCTCAGGTGAGCTATTCCTGGTTTTCTTCCACAGTAAGCTTCAAATGGAGTGATGTCCAGAGATTTTGTAGGGCACCTATTGAGAATGTAAACTACAGTATGAACAGCTTCAGCCCATAGATAGTATGGCATTCCCTTGTCATGCAGCATTGATTTTGCCATTTCCACCACTGTTCTACTTTTTCTCTCCACCACTTCATTTTGTTGAGGAGTGTAAGCTAGTGTAAGCTGCCTTTGAATACCTAGATCATCATAGAATTCAGTGAATTCAGTAGACAGGAACCCACCTACACATGCATCCGAGTAATCTGCACATGCATTCGGCAACCCACCTTCACCATTAGAAAACAACATATGTAAGAAGCAGATTAACAAATCAAACATATGCAACTATCTAAGGGAGGAAAAAGTTAAACATAGAAAAGTTGTCAGTGCCTTGTTTAGGTAAACACACTCACACACACCAAACACAAAACACTTACCCGGTTGGAAATGATCTTTGCATATATAGGCAAAAGATAGCATGATTCAAATATAATTTTATTAAGGTTGGTAAAAGCACAACCCATCCAACGAGATGTCTATCGTGCAAAGATCCACTGTCAACCATTATACCAACTGTGATTCTTCTGTCACACACTTTAGTTCCATCATACGTACCAGACCCCACCAAACCACATGCTAATTAAACTAATTAACAAAGTAAACCATCTTTAGTCTTTAATTTCCAAAGCCCGAAAAATGTTGCCCTCCCTTTGCGAACCAAATACAAAGAGAATATAACACATTTTCTATCAAAATATTATACAAATATGTACTAACTAAACCAATTTTTGAGAGGATTTAGCTCTAGCATCCATTACTTGATTTACCAATCAATTTAGAGGTTGCTCTCAATCCTAAAGCATCTGATATCAGTGGAGCCTACACCAATGCTACACATCACACCATGAACTATACAGAAGGCAATGCAAATGACCAAGAAATTAATTAAATTAAAATCCCACAACACCAAAGGAAGAGGCGTGGAGCCTCTCCTCATCTAGAGACTGCAAAATCCAAATTCATATATTTTGCTTCCCGACCCCCCCCCCAACCCACAAAAATAGAATTCTGGCTCTTTAGAATATCTTCAGACGAAGAATGTGCAACAAATGTCACAAATTACACATCAAAGGATAAGGAGTACGCTCTAAGAACAGACGGAAAGAAAACAAACACAGAACAAACATAACTATCATACCAAGAAGCCCCCAAACACTTACTATTGGCTTTGATATCAGTTTTACAATCTGCCTTTGATAATTCCAAAGTATCAATCATAAACCAAAGGAGCACAGATTTGCATTTCTGCTATCATATTAAAGTATCAATCATAATGGCCTATGAGGAGTGTTTAAAAAGAATTAAATCTCAGACAGAGACCACCAATTGGTATTCAACCTCACTTCCAGAAAATTACTAAAAAAAATGAGATAAAGAGTTTAAAAAATATGATGCATATTTCAATCGAGCCTCATTAACAACAGAAAATACGGCAGCATAAAGTATAACAGAAGCTTGGAAATTGAAAGGAACCTGCAATTAGGTTTCTTCAGAAGCAAAGATGGCAGAACGGAACCTAGAATCACAGAGAGAGAGAGTGGAGTGAGCCGGTCTGAGCGAATGTTGTTCAACAAACTATACAGTCAAGAAACCATTTTTAAATTTAAGTCAGAGGACACACCAACTGAAAACAGTGCATTACCTGTTGAATCAAAGGAGGAAATGGAGAAATCAAACTCTCCTATACCTCCTTCAGTAACTCCTTCCTGACCGGCCAACCCCACAAACTGCACACAACCATGCCTTCCCCATCAATTTTTGCGGAAATGGCTTCCAGCTGGAACCAAAATTCTGAAAACAACCCTACCCGTAGCCCTCCCTTCCTGCCTCGCCGTCTCTCTGCGCACCTGTCGTCGACAAAAACAAAACCAAACTTTCGGGCACCCCTACCCTTACTTGGCTCATCCTACCCGTCCTTCTCTCCTCCCGTTTTTCCTCCCATCCCTTTTGCAACGCACGACTCTTCCCTCTCTCCTCTTCTCTCACGCACGACTCTTCCATCTCTCCTATTCTCTCTGCCATTCTGCAGGCTGCGGGTGAGCCTTTCTGGGTGAGTCACCGCATCCACCTCACCCCATATGGAAACCAACCAAAACAAACCCAGCCATAGCCTAAACCCGCAAAAGCCCATCCGCCCAAACCCAAAAAACAGCCCCAGCCCGAACCCAAACCTTCCACAAAGCCCACTCATCAAAGCCATGGCATGGCCGTAAATAGAGAGAAAATCAGGTCCAAACTACAAAGGCCACTCTGTAAAGCAGTGGCATGGCAGTAATTAAACTGAAATCTGGAACCAAACACTGTTCATTTGAATAGTGCAATTGGAATCCCTTCTTTAGGCTAAAGTAATTATCAGGATTAGAAGTGTCATTTAGCCTAAATTTACAAGTGCAAATTTCCTTCAATATGCCTGAATAATTTTTTTTTTTCCAAATAGCGTTTTACCGCAGTGAAGAAAAGCATTCATACCTATTGAAGGAAAATTTATGAAAAACTAAGTTCATAAAGCAATATAATGTATGCATTTAATGATTAAAAGGCGGAAACATGCTTCCATGCACTTTAAAACAAAACTTAAACCATGAAATTCAAAACCTAGTAGTTGTGTTGAACCAAGACTCAACTTAAATCTTAAAGAAAAGAGTTGAGATTTCTTGTACCTTTGTTGAATTCTCTTTGCATAAGTAAAGACTAATCACTCATGAGAGAAGGTCTTCATTCCTAGCTTCTTTGCTCCATGGATTTCTTGAAGGATGATGGAAGAATGGATTCTCCAAGGTCTCAAGATAGGGAACCTCTATGTTTCCACACCAATGATGTTATTGAAGAAAAGATGAGCGATCTTGAAGGATGATTGAACTAGTAAATCCCTTCCAAAGGGGCCGGCCTCCTGGAGAGAAAAGCGAGAAAGATGAAGCTCTCTTTCCTCTTAGAAAACCTTAATGAGGGAATGAGTTATAATTTCCTTTATATAGCCACTTACCATGACTTTAGACATGATTACTACATGCATAATGTTTGATATTGTGCGTGTCATTGCTTATGTTTGTTATCGTTGTTATCATATCTTGATATGATTCATCGCTCACTTGAATTTGATTGACAATATCTGATTTGATAAAAGTTATTTATGGTTATAACTTGTCTAGAGTCCATACCAGCTATATGAGTGCTTCAGTTTTGAGCCTTTAGTTACTTATAAAATAAAGTTAAAAAGTAAGAAGTGTGAAACATAGCTATAGTCAGTTGCTAGTATAGGTGTCATGTATATACCCACTCCAACTTTCTACTTTCTCCTGCTAGGAAGCTAGCTTTGAAGAGGTGGGATGAAATTTTGAAACTCTTTGTTATTCTTTTTTGATGGGTCATTTCTTTTTCTTTTTCATAATTCTCTTTCACACCACAGAATATGTCATCCTTCAGCTCTTATTTCTTTCATCTTCTAGTTCAACAAAGCCATCATCCCACTCAAGACCCTGATTACTCATAAGCCATATTCTCATAGCAACAAGTTCTCTGACTGGTTTGGAAAGTGAACAAGTTTGGGCTGTTTGAAACTGATTTGTGTTTTGGTGGTCTTAGATGCTGCTTGCTAAGGTTTGAGGTAGGGAAACCAAAATATTTGTTACAATCTTGAATCTAATTTAGTTATGTATTTGGTGTGACTCTTATATGAAATTTGAACTATTTCCAAATGTTTCAATACATATATGTATGTTTTCAAACACGATGACAAGAGTTTGAGAAAGGGAAATTTGTATAAGAGCTAGTGTTACCAGTTGTAGAGTTTGGTTAAGTTAGTTCCAAGGATTTCAGTAAGTAGGGATTGTGTCTCCCTAGGGTGGAAGACCCCAAACTTGATCAAGATGGCTTACTCGGTGACCTTAATCCGAGGCGGTGGCCGTAACCGATGATTAAAGCTCATGAATACGGTGTTGGGAACTAACCAAGAAGGAAAAGTATTGAAATGATTGCGTTTTGAGAAGTGAAAATACTTTGAACCTCTATTATCCCTATGGCACTACTAGAATTTTGGCTAAAAGCCACCCTGTTTCATTGGTGCCTATTGTGGCATGTAGCCACTCACATTGGTGGCAAACCTCAAAGGCCACCAAGCAGCCACCAAATTAGAAAGTGTGGCCTATGTAGAGGACTCTATTGTTACAATAGCTACCAATATTGCATTGGTGCCTTTCCTGTAGTGCCACCCTAATTCACATCGGTGGCAAAGTTGCAAAATAATATTAGAAAAAAGGATGCCCTGTGTGAGCACCCAAATTGGAGTATCATATTTGTTTTTCTATTTTTGGTGAGAAAACAAATTGTTATATCATTAAAATATAAGAATACAACTATAAATTTGCATAACTGATATTTTATAGAATTTTGTACAAATGTTGGAACCAAACTTTAAAAAGTCTTCGAACCCTTTGTTTCCAAGAGCTTAATCATCTCAATAACTTGAATCTGATCATCAGCTGCAGCCTGCACCCAAAATCAAACCCACAAATTTCGTAAGAATAATGTTAACTCAAGTCCAACTGAAAGTGATTAGAGTTGAGGACTACACTCAGATATGATCATATAAATACCTAGGAAAAGTAGATTTTCAAGGGGTTTGCAGTCATAATTTACCATACAAAAATCTCCACAAATTCACTGCAACCCTTCTGCAACTTCAACTAAGAACATATTAAATTGACAAGTTCATGAATATGCAGACCACCTTCAACCTTGAAACAACAAATGATCTCCCAATTTGCGTGGGTATTCAAGAATAAGATAAAGAAAGCATAGATAATATATTTATGACCAATGGGCAGAAGACAAGATACAAACAAAGCATTTACATACGAATGAGGGAGAACATAAATGAGAACGGAATATCAGTGAAGAGCGCGCGCATAATCACACATATAAATGCATTAATATTTTCTCTTTTTTCAAAAACTCAAAAAACCAGGAAATTCCAATACAAGAGTTTAGGATAGAAACATACAGCTCTTCCCAGAAGGAAAGCAGCCCCTGCACCTAAAGTGGCTCCAATTGAATCAGCAACATAACCAACAGGTAGCCCAAAAAGATAACCTCCACCGAGCTGAACCATTAAAATGAGGAATCACAAAAGGGTGCAAACTTGCAATTAAATAAAAAAAGGTCGTACCCAGTGCACAAGGCTCCTGCTTTACGCAGGGTCTGGGAGAGGTGAATGTCGGCTAGCCTTACCCCCATTTATGGAGAGGCTGCTCCCAAGTCTCGAACCCGAGACCTACCGCTCATGGGCGAAGGCACTTGCCATCGCAACAAAGAACATAAGGACAGAAGAAGACTCAAAATGAGAGAAAGAAACAAATAAATAGACCTTCTAAATCTCCTAATTCATTTAAAAAAACAAACCATAGAATAATGTTATATGGGTGATATCAAACAAAAACAAACGTTAAACAGAAAATTACTCAAGGCTTTGCCTGATATCAAACAAAAGCAAACTACTGTGAACTTTTAACTTCAAAATCAATCATCAATGACAGATACTATTATCTCAACTTCTGAAAAAAATTACTTACTTTGCCAAACCCAAACCTGCCTCACATTCGAAGGAATGCACATTTTAAATTATCAATCAGGATTCAGTGCATGAGTTTGTTCTCATACTCTCCCTTTTAATCTAACAACATATATGAAATTGAAAAGAGAGGATGAGAAATTTTTACCTCTGGGTGTGTCAACTCCGAGATTGGAGGTTTGGCCTTTGGATCCGCTTGTGTGGAGCTTGAATCTCTCGCGAGATCTGGGCTCAGCTTTTCAGAGATGGCGGTGTAGGCAACGGTCTTGGGGCTCTCATCTCTGATTTCTGAGCATAGATTTGCTCAGATGGGGACGATGACGCCAAAACGAACAAACCTAACCCCTCAAAAAGCATTGATTGTCACCGTCGCAATCATAGACTGCAAAACCACGCCTCTTTTTTACTTGGACTTCTTAATCCTCTCCTTTCAATACAAAATTTGCTTTTTGAAAATCTTTCCTCTCTGTTTCGCCCTAGACCATGAATTGATATTGCAGAATATAACAGTAAAAGAAAACTACAAGTGAAGTATGCAAAGCATATGCTAGATCATTAGTGCACAAGAATTAAAGTGCAGTAACAACAATTGCTAAGGCATCGGACAAATGCTTACAGTAAGTACTGAATGTTATACATTTAACACTTGTAGGATTAGACTGAATGTAAAACATATATATAAAGACACTTCATACACAATTAGCTGTACAACTAGTAAGTAGACCCAAATGCTTACAGTAAGTACTGAAGATAACAGGATTAGACTGAATGTAAGTGGTTTTAGGATCCCACCTTAAGCAGAAAATTTGCTCCGGCCACAAAACAGTCCATTTCATCTGCCTTGTCAAGAGAAATCCCAAGCTTTTCTTTAAAAAGATCTGCGTACTTAATGCCCCACCACCTGTGGCCTGCCTGCTCACCATTGTCACGAGTCAATTAATTAGCTTGAATACATGCCAGAAAACAGTGATACAATGGCCAAACCAAACAGTTGGTATTACCTTAATAACGCACTTGGCGCTCCCAGAAGCTCCGTGTTGTTGGGAGCCTGAAATCATCTACAACCATAAGCAATGACCCAAAACCAGAAAATGATAACTACAACTACTAAACAAGCAGCTATATTCAAGGCATATATGATCTTCTTCTATGATGCACGGATACTTCTATTTGGTCCCGTATCCCGTATCCGATACTTGATCGGATACGATACTTGTCCGATACTCTCGGATACTCGTCCGACACGTATCCTGGTTGATGGACACGAATTTGACATAATGGATATGTGTATCCTACATTTAGGATACATGTATCCTACTTTTAAAATACATTTACACTTTCAAAAAAAGGTAATGAGGAGGAGAAAATTAATAGGAGACATCTATAATTGAAAGTTGCTAAATACAAAGAGCTTCCCTCTAACTAAAACCATGAATACGACTCTGACACTTCTTCTACTGTATAAAGAGGATTAGATTTCGAGCTTTCCTTCTCTAACAACTCAAATGTACTTGAATTTGAATGATGAATTATGTTTTAAAATGTATATTTTTGTTGCTATATACATTTTTATTTGCCGTATCCATAGCATATCGTATCTTAATTTTTAGAGATTTTCCGTATCGCCGTGTCGTGTCGTATCGTATCGCCGTATCCGTATCCGTATCCATGCTTCATAGATCTTCTTTCGTATTTCATTTTCAGAAGTTTAAATCTTCTGAAACTACAAAATTTTTGCAGTCGAAATATGGGTACTAATTACTTAAGCTGAAGTAGTTCATTTACCAATAAAAATGGTAGTTTGAACTTTCAATCCAAGATTTCAACATCAACACTTAGTTTAACAAAACAAGGTTAAAAAGTCTCAATTAGTGAAAAAATGAATCTTCCCATATCCCAAGTTGATTGAAACGAAAAATGATACAAATGAATCAGGAGATGGAAGGCAATCAAATACTTCTTAAGCATTAAGCGTACCAGTAAGGCGAAGTTGCTTGGATCGAATGAAGTCTATACAGTCATTGATTTTCTGAGTTTCAAACTTTGCAAAATGGAGCTTCCCTTCAAGAACAGGACGCCCTCTATCGCCATTAGAAGCTGCTAAACTCTCATTCAAAGAAGACGAATCGTCACTGTTCGTTGAGAAATACACCAATTCTATCAAAGAACCTGCCAACAGACAAAACTAACAAAAAAAAAAAAAACGAAAAATCAAGAGAATTTGAGCAATTGGACTACAAAAATTAAATAAAAACCCAGGGTTTTGAATCTCTGTAGTTCCAACATTCCCAATTTCCATTTCGGGTCGGCTTCCTCTTGATTTGAGCTTTTATTTTGGAAAAGAACTTACACTGGAGGACAGCCCACGAGGAGAGGATCATCTTTACTTCTTGGTCGAGGTCCAATGCCGGCAAGCTTGGCCGCAAATTGGCTGGAAAACATGCGGTTACCGTTTCTTAGATCTGAAATTGAAAAAATTCGGCTTCGAATTTGATGAAACTAACTTGGGAGTCGGAAAGAGGACGGGAAGAGGATTTTGGAGGTACAGGTTGACGGTCGTTGGTGTTCTCATCGCCGTCGTTTGTCTTCGACTCCCGTTGTCGGCGCTGTCGTGTGAAGAGAAGAGGAAGAAGACAAATAGAATGAAGCGAAGGAGGTGTTGGACGTTTGTGAAGGGGAGAGAGGATTTAGCTTTTTACACAAAAGCAACACACCAATCTCAGCTTAAAAGACACCAAAAATAAAAGGCCACCAATCTCAAATTGGACGGCCACTAGTATTAGTGGCATTAACTAAAAAGACACCAAAAAAAGCCAAGAGTGGTATCTTTATGTCTATAGCTACCAATTGCAAATAGTGTGTAAATATTGGTGTCCTATAGCCATAATTCTAGTAGTGTGGGATGTATTACTATGTATCTTTTGAATGTAAACTATATTTCTGTCATCCTAGATGCATGCCTTGTTAGAATCTTGATTCAAATGAATCATTTTGTTGTACCTACTGAGCTTGTGAAGCTCACCCTATTTTATCATTTCAGGACTTAAGTAAAGGTATGAAGCTAGTGATATCCTCAAGCTGTAATGTGTAGTGTTAGAGCCTAGCTTTTTTTTAAGACTTTTTGTAAGTGCTACTTGTAAAGCTTACTCCAAGTTGTGGTGTAAATCTAGGAGGTTTGGTATCTCTGGTGGTGAAGGATTTTGGGAATAAGTTGTATCTTAACTTTGTAAATTTGCATGTTCAGTACTTATGGGCAGTTATAAAGTTTGTTTTCTACCCAGCTCAATCCATCAATTTAGTCATTCCACATGGTTTTGGGTGTGACAATTTTTGGTATCAAAGGATCAGGTTAACCCCTCAGACTGGAAATATGTGTTGGGGAACATGTAATGTATTTCTTGTTACTTGTTAGATGTTTTAACAATTGACATGAATATGCACATTTGCAATTTATGTGATCTTTAATTGTTAAATTCTTTATATATGGTAGTCATGCCTCCAAAGAGAAGTAAGAAATATTCAGGTTCCTCTGCTGGTGGTGAATCTGATGGAGGGCAAGAGTTCCTTCAAGTGTGGAAAGATATGACAGAGGTCATGAAATAGTTTCTTAATAATCAATAGCAAGCTCCACCTCCACTACCTACACTGCCACCACAAGTAAATGAAGAAACAAAAGCTATGATTGCTATGCGCGAGTTTAAACGTCAAAATCCACCAATCTTTAAAGGAGAGGCGAATCCCACTATAGCTGAAGAATGGCTAGAGGATATTGAAAAGATATTAGATGCACTCAAAATCGAAGAAGCAAATTTGAGAATCACACTTGCCGTTTATCAGTCTAGTGGAAAAGCATGTGGTGGAAATCTGTGAAGTCTTCGCTTGATTTAAACAGTATGACTTGGAATGAATTCAACTCTTTCTTTCTCGACAAGTACTTTCCTACGGTGTTGCAAGAAGCTAAATTAGAAGAATTTCTGAGATTGTACCAGGGAAATATGACTGTTATGGAGTATGAAGCTCTATTCATTGCGTTGTCTCGTTTTGCTTATGATCTACTTTCAACTTATTTTAAGAAAGCTCACAGGTTTGAGCGTTGACTTCGACCTTTCCTTAGGTCTAAGATTACAATTTTGAGACTTCCAACTTATGATGAAGTTGTGAAAAGAGCTTAGAAGCTGAAGCTGATTCAAAGGATTCAAAGAAAGTATGTGATAAGTCTCGGGAATGAACACCTCAACAATTCCAACATCTGAATAAGAGGTAGAAGACATCATCCTGTACTTCTGGAGAGATTATTGTACCACAACAACACCAAACACGTCCTGCAAGTTGATTTGAGCATGGACATAAAGTATGTTGCTCTTGTGGACATTTCAAGAATTCATGTCATTATTTAGAGAAGTCTCAAAGTGCTGATGGACCATCTCAAAGTGTAGGACCTTCAAAGCAATCTGCACAAGAATCTAGAGCCCTTAATAGACGCTTTCAACAGCTAAGAAATGTGTCTCAAACTTGGGTGGGGTCAGGGTTGAATAAAGGTTAGATGGATGACAAGGACAAGGTAAATTACAAGCACTTTAGGCAGAGGAGTCTACTAATCACTCTATGACAGAAGGTATGGTACTCATGTTTAACTCATGGGCTAAAGTATTATTCAATTGCAGTTCTTCGCACTTTTTTATTGCTTTGTCATTTGCATCTGCATTGGGGTTAGATTCGGAAAGTTTGGAAAAACCTTGGATTGTGGAATCTCCATTACCATGGGCATAAATAGTTATAGTGGATCTTGTCTGTAGAAAGTGTGTTTTGAGTATAGATGTGCTACAATTAGCATACGATCTACTGGTACTTGACATGTTGGAATATGATGTAATTCTTGATATCAATTGGTTGATGGATCACCAAGTCATCTTAGATTGCTTGAACAAAATAATATAGGGATATTCAGAAACAGGTGTTGGATTTCTGTTTGAGGGTAGATTGACACCATTATTTTCTCCATCACTTGAGCAATCACAAAAGCATGGTAAATTATGTAGTCTTTTGGTTAACATAGGCTTTTGTTGGTAGTAGTGGTTCAAATTTGCCTCGAGTTGTATGTGAATTTCCAGATGTGTTTCCAGAAAAACTAACCAAGTTACCACCACACCGAGATGTTGACTTCTCCATTGAGCTTCAACCTGGTATGTCACCAATTTCAATTGCACCATACCGTATGGCACCAGCTGAACTTTGAGAATTGAAGAAGCAACTTGAAGAGTTATTCGAGGTTGGATTCATTCGTCCTATTAATTCTCCTTGGGTGCACCTATCTTATTTGTGAAGAAGCAAGATCATTCATCAAAACGTGTAGACACTTCCCTGAGATTGTGTACTGATTATCGACAATTGAACAAGGTAACTATGAAGAATAAGTACCTTATACCATGCATAGATGATTTATTTGACTAACTAAGAGAGTCATGCTGGTTTTCCAAGATTGATCTATGATCTGGTTACCATCAGTTGCGGATAAAAGAAAACGATGTTCCAAAGACAACTTTTCGAACACGCTATGGCTGTTATGAGTATTTGGTTATACCATTTGGATTAATAAATGCTCCAGCTGCATTCATGAATCTAAAGAACCAAATTTTCAAGCCATATCTTGATCAGTTTGTTGAAGTATTCATTAGTGATATTTTAATTTACTCACACTCTAAAGTGGAACATGAAAAACATTTGCGAATGGTACTTCAAACATTGTGAGATAATAAGCTTTATGGCAAACTTAGTAAGTGTGAGTTTTGGTTGTCTGAAGTTAAATCCCTTGGACACGTAGTGTCTAGTTATGGTATCTCAGTGGATCCCTCCAAAGTGGAAGCAGTGATGACTTGGAAAGACCGAAGAAGGTGTTTGAGATTCGAAGTTTCTTGGGTCTAGTTGGTTAGTATCGCCAATTCATCAAGGATTTCTCATGCATTGCGGCTCCAATGACAAAGTTGACACAAAAAGGAGTTAAGTTTGAGTGGAATAATTCTTGAAAGAGGCTTACTAGTGCACCTGTTCTTATTGTTCCTAAAAGAGGACAAAGTGACACGGTGTATTGTGATGCTTCTCATGAAGGCCTTGGATGTGTACTTATGTAGAATGGCAAGGTTGTAGCCTATGGCTCCCAACAATTGAAAAATCATGAATGGAACTATTGTACACATGATCTAGAATTGGCTGCGGTTGGTTCTGCTTTAAAACTATGGAGACATTATTTGTATGGAGAAAAGTTTGAAGTGTTCTTTGACCATAAAAGCTTGAAGTATCTATTCACTCAAAGAGATCTAAATTTAAGGCAACGCAGATGGATGGAATAAATGGCAGATCATGATTTTGAGTTTTTTTTTATCATTCGGGTAAAGCAAATGTGGATGCAGATGCTTTGAGTCGTAAATCACGTTGTTCAGTTGCACGTTTAGCAGTTCGAGAATGGGAAATGTTTAATGCCATAGCTGAATTTGATTTCCAATCCCTTGAAAATGAGAGACCAGCCCGTATACACAATGTTGTTGCTCAACCTTCCTTGATTACTAGAGCTATCGGTGCACAACAAAAAGATCATTAGGTTCAGACTATTCGAGCTCAAATTGCTAATGGAGAGGGTCCAGAAGGATAAAGTATACACTCAGATGGAAGGGTAACGATTATTTGTACCAACACAAAATGAAATGCGGTAGCAAGTTCTTCGTGAATTTCATCACTCTCGTTTTGTTGTACACCTGGTGGAACCAAGATGTATAATGATTTACGTAGGGATGAAATGAGATATAGCGGAGTTTGTAGCCAAATGTTTCACTTGTTAACAAGTAAAAGTGGAGCATAAAATTCCACCAGGATTGCTTCAACCACTCTCGATTTCTCAATAGAATTGGGAGCATATAGCCACGGACTTTGTACCTGGTTTGCTAAGATCTACAAAAGGACATGATTCAGTGTGGGTCAGTGTTGATCGTTTGACAAAATCTGTTCACTTTCTTCCAGTAAGAGAGACAAACTCTATGGTCTCATTGAGTAAATTATACATACAGGAAATTGTTAGACTTCATGGAGTACCTGTTTCCATTGTCTCTAATCATGATTCGAGGTTTTTCTCACAATTTTGGTAAAGTTTACATGATGCATTGGGAACTCAATTTTGCTTTAGCACTGCTTTTCATCATCAAACATATGGTCAATCAGAGAGACCTATTCAGATTATGGAAGATATGCAATCTTGTATATTGGACTTCAAAGGCAGCTGGGAAGATCACTTGCCTCTTGTGGAATTTATATATAATAACAGCTATCAATCCAACATTAAAATGGCTTCATACGAAGCATTATATGGCCGACCTTGCAGATCTCCTTTATGATGGGCTGAAGTGGGTGAAAAGATTTTATTACGACCATATTTGGTAAGTGAAACTACAGAACAAGTAAACTCATTCGACAGCGTTTGCTTACTGCTCAAAGTCGTTAGAAAAGCTACGATGATAAGAGACGACCATTAACCTTTGAGGTTGGTGATCATGTATTCCTTAAAGTTTTACCACGTCATGGTGTCAGGAGGTTCAGTCGAAAAGGAAAGTTGTCACCACATTATATTGGTCATTTTGAGATTCCAGAGAGGATTAGTGAAGTGGCCTTTCGTTTAGCATTTCCTTCGTGACTTGCAAGAATTCATAATGTGTTCCATATCTCAATGCTTCACAA